TGCGCATTACCAATTATTGAACACTCCTCCTACTCTTTCTTGAAGAGCCAATAAGCATCTATCTTCTATCCTTCAGTGTTGGCACAAGTCCCGCTTATGGAAAACTTGCTCAACTAGCCATATAGGAGTATTACATATATGGTTCTCAGTCTTCTCTCTGATAATACAATTTTAATTCTCAATATTTGTGGCAAAAGATAAACAATGACTTCACTTCTCGTACCAGGAATTTCGCCACCAGGCTTTTCTTTTGATCTTTGTCAAAGGTAAAAATTTCATATATTTTTTGTTTTTTGTGACAAGATCTCCTTAACCTTATAATCACGCTAATTCTGCTGTGTCAGTCAACAAATCAAAACTATGCGCAACTCAGTTTTTTAACTTCATATTTTATTAGAATTTTTACTTAATAAACTTGTTTATTACTATTTTATTTTGTGTATATATCTACAGAAACAATGCTTTGATCAAGAAAGGTTTTGCTGCTCCAAAAATGGTCAAAACAGGCACCACTATTGCGGGTGTAATCTACAAGGATGGTGTTATTCTTGGTGGTGATACTCGTGCAACTGAAGACACTATTGTTGCCGACAAATATAGCTTAAAAATTCACTATCTTGCTCCCAATATGTAGTCAGTACCATACAGCGTTCTTCTTTCTGTTATAATTCCTATTGTACTGTTTTAAATAATATGTTAACCACATATAAACTGTTCTTAGCTGTTGTGGAGCTGGAACAGCAGCTGATACCGAGATGACTACTGAACTAATAGCCAGTCAGTTGGAGCTGCATCGTTTGAGCACTGGTCGCATTGTGCCAGTTTGTACTGCAAACACAATGCTAAAACGAATGCTGTTCCGTTATCAGGGTCACATTGGTGCTGCTCTTGTTTTGGGTGGTTACGATCTTGATGGACCACAACTCTACTGTATTTATCCACATGGATCTACTGAGAAGATGAAGTATACCACTATGGGATCTGGCTCATTGGCTGCTATGGCAGTTTTTGAGAGCAGATGGCGGCCTGACATGTCGGTATGTTTTGAAATAGAATTGTATTTTAAATGCACGTATGGAATTTTCTATCGACAAAACATAAATTTTTTCGTTATAGTAGTTTTATTATATATATATTTTTTATTATACTTGTATTCAATTTTTGTTAGTGCACTAATTTATGTTTGTGTAAATCTTTCGTATGAATCTCTTATATCAATACATTCGCTGCCGATCTGAAAAGATACATCACTCCTGAAAGCCAATTTCACAAAAATTTATTACGGTTCAACATCACTGAATAATATTGTACAAAACAATATCTTTGTGTGATGAACCCACACAACTGCACAGTTTCACATTCGAAGTACAACTGGCTGATGAGTGACTTACTACTTGCAACAGAGCTTCATCACGCTGGCATGTGATGGGCAGCAAACACGTTAAATTAATCTCATATATTAGTTTAAATTCTTCTCTATATGTGTTGAATATTTTATTCTCACAATAAAAATGATTGTCTCATTTTCAGGAAGAGGAAGCGAAGGAGTTAGTAGCGGATGCGATTCGTGCGGGTGTGTTCAACGATCTGGCATCGGGATCCAACGTGGATCTCTGTATCATTCGCAAGACTGGCGTCGAATATCTACGACCGTATGATAAAGCCAGTGTAAAAGGCCAGCGGCAGTTCAATTATCGTTACAAGCCTGGCACCACCGCGGTACTTTCCAAAACCGTACAGCCGATCATCATAGAGGAGGAGACAGTACAAAAAGTTGAAACCGAAGCGATGGACACATCTACATAAAAAATATCGTCAATTAAGCTACAACTTTAAGTTACATTGAATGTTCTCCAGACAACATTGGGATAAAATATCGCATTTTGCGAGGTTAAGTCTACGACTATTGAATATTAGTTTTCACGAAATATTCTAAAATTATTTAAATAAAAATATTAATAATTTGAAATATAAAAGGTTACTTGTGCAATTGTAATAGAAGATTGGAATCGAAGCTGAAATATAATATACCCTGTACATAGGCAAAGGTAACTGTCCCAGTGATAAAGTTATATTCAAAAATAGTAAAATAATTTGTAAACTTGTTTTCTTGAAAAAAATTCAATATAATTCAAAACAAAAAATAAAAATACGAGACTTAGGACAGTTATCTTCAATCGAGTAGACATGAGAGAAATTGAAATGTTAAAAAAGCCCAGCAGTTTGCTTCAGACGTTGCTTCCTCCACGTTGGCAATTTCTCGAATTCTTCGGGTTCCATTTTGAAGATTGCAATGAAGTTGTCATAAGTCAGGTGCAGTTCTTTACGTTTGACGTCTACACCGGCCGGTAGATTCTCCGGCTCGCTCTTCAGCATTGACGGCGGGTACTTGATGTAATTGTCAAAGTCTCTGGCGGTCTTCGAGGTTGTCTGCGTCCTTGTCGATTGATCCTTGTCTTCCAACAAGACGCAGAAGGTCTCAAACGATTTGTAGTCTCTGAGCAAATTGTGGTTCCAGTTGTCGAACAGGCCGATAAAAGTGGCCGGCTCAAAACCTCAATAGCGTATGAAGAAAAAAACTTAATGATATTCACAATTTTCAAATATATCTTCGACACTTCGCATTAAAATTTACCTTGCTTGATCACTGAAATTGCCGTGTTGCGATTTCGACCTGCGGGATGCGTATAGAGATACACGGTAGCGTCCTCGATGCACTCTTGCAACGTTTTTGGAGTGGAGAACTTGCCTATCCACACCCAGATCATGCTGCCAGTATCCAATAGCCAGATAGCTTCCGGTATTAGAGAATTTTGTCGGAAACCAAGGACTTGCTTGCCTACGAACAGGCCGTTTTCGGTACGACACTGAAACAGATGTTTATCCAGCTCTTCGCTCACTTCCTCAGTTTCTGTGCTGTAAGTGCCTTTCCCTGAAAAATTATAAATAATATTTTAGAAATTTAAATTAGAAAAATTTATATAAATGTGTATTTGTGTGTGCGTGTGTATGTGTAAAAAATGAACGAAAAAGTAAACTTTACCTCCAAGTTCGATCCAGAAATGATCGTCTTCTTTGCCCTCGGCAATGAGAGGCGCGTTTCGTGGCGCGAGACGTCGCGAAGCTTGTCGAGCGTCGCCAGTACTTTTGCCGCCGCACCAGACTACCGGCGTGGCAGAAAAGAGAATGAATACCGCGCTTGAGTCCAGGCTGCTTGCTCGCAACGGCCGTTCCACGGCTTTTGAAGTATACGGCGTCGAGCCGAACACTCTGACCAAATATCTCTTCGGTGCTGCGTATAACATTTTCTCAATTGTATATACATTTGCAATATTTCTTAATACTTTTCACATATTTCGTATCAATGTTTTTTATTTTTTATTCTTGTTACAGTAAGAATTAACGACGGATAAAAAGATATTTTACGTGAGTCACGATGACTTCCTGCAAGTATTTTCAGCTTTCCGTCGTAGATTTGTAGCAGATGGGGCGGTTCTCTGCCCTGGGATGCTTTCACTATCTGCGCGTTTGTTTCTTCAGACAAACGGCAAGTTGCTGTCAACGCTGCATCTCGATCAACTTTGACAGAGTGAACGCCTTCCCAGCAATAAACCTGAAGGAAAAATAATTAACTTTCTCTTATGTACAACCGTACACACGCGCGCGCATATAGGTTGCTCCCTTGATAGGAAAACATTTCTAAAATTATGTGACAAAATTTTGCATTAAAATTGTAATTTGCAATTATATAGATATATTTTAGGAAATAGATGTGTAAAAACATTGATCTTTTATACAATATTTGTAACTGTTTGCATAAAATTAATTTCCAAATACTATTTCGGCAAAAGAATAACGATATGGCGAATCGTCTTAGCAGTATATTTGCAAAATTAATTTCAAAAAGAAATTGTCCAAGAATTGAGAAGAAAATTTCAGCTATGTGATATTTAAAATAAGTAGAAATATAATTGCATATGAAGAAATCAATGTAATTCGTGTATATACTTATGGAAATGCGACTCTTTTTCAATTTTTGACAAATATTATTTACAAAATTTTATTTTGACAAAACTGTTGCGTCATGGCGAATCATCTTAATGCAATCATTGCAAAATCGTCGTCATTCATGATGCCATTTTTGTGCAATATTTTCACAATTCGCCTATTGGGGTCTGAAAGTTTCTGCAAAATGGTATACAAACATAAAATTAATTTCTGAAATTGAAATATCTCCAAAAAGATGGACAAAATGCTTTGACGATTGGTTTAATCGAATGCAAAAGTGTAACGGAGAATATTTTGAGACAACAATAAAGCCACTTTCAGAAATTTATATGTTTGTATAGTTTGCAGAAACTTTCAGAGAAGTAATTCATTCGTCATGTGTTACTTTAACTAACTTAACTTTTTTACTGACACACTAGTAATGTTAAGTAATTGATATTTTACATTTATAATTGTTATTTTGAGTGTAATGTAAAAGTAAAATAATAATTAATTAAAAACTACATGTGTGGAAGAATAGTTACAATAATTCGTAAGAAATGTAAAAAAAACACTTTTGAAATAAAATACGTTACGAGTTATTGACTATTTTTTAACGAGTTATTGTGACTATCTTTCCATGTAGTTTTTAATTATTTTTTAATAATATTTAAACAATAAATTATTTTTGTTATTATTTTTTATTTTATTTTTATGTTACTTAATATAAGTCAAAATATAAATGTAAAGTGTTAATTATTTAACATTACTAGTTTGTTAACAAGTAATACATGACGAATAAGATATTTTAACATTTTTTACATGTCCTAACAGGTTCACTCAAATTGAAATTTAACATTTTATTTTTTACTATGTATAATATATAGTAAATAATACACACACACAATATATATATATATAAAGTAAGTAATATATATTTCTGACGCACAATATTTCGACTTCTCCGTCCTTGTCCGTACTTGTACAGCATCACGTAACAGGCTTCCGCGTAATAAATTCCTCTGTCGTCCTCGATCTGAATCATGCCCTCCTTGTGTTCGACTCTCCACAAAGTCTTCTCTCCGGAACCATCGTCCACCAATTGACACTCAGCCGCCATCCTGGGTCTCTCGTTCATGTAATCGGGTTCAAAGCTCGTCGGCAATGTCAGCGGCCTCGTTTTTGAGGGCTCCCAACCGCGCAACAGCGCCTTTATCTCCTCAGGCTCGTAACCTTTATTTTAGTTTATTTTAGTTTTGTTAATTATATTAATCTCCCTGCGAATTTTTTTTTTAAAGCAAACCGCACTCTTCTTATGTTTCAGGATAAAATAAATTTCTACCTTCCGTTGCCCTAGCCACTGGGACACCGTCGCTGTAATTCTTCTTTTTGACGAAACCTCGCGCATTTCTGACCGCCTCCAATCTTTCCCTAGCGTTAACGTCGCGACCTACCCAGGCCCAAACTCCTGCCTCGCCTCGATCCACCAGATACACGGAATCCGACGTCAGATCCCTTCGAAGAATAGGTCCGGCTTTCAGTTCGGCAACCTTGTATTTTCCTGACTGCTCGCTACACTTATAGAGCTTGATCGGACTCGGTGGATTGATCCGATGCTGGCGATCGGGCGCAACCACTCTTGCCAAAGGATCCAGCACGCTGCTAAACAGCTCCCTGTCATCTCCGGGCAATGTCAACTCGTAGCCGTCCTCGACCACTACCACGCGTCCGTTGTTGTTCTCTTTTCGAGACTCAAGGAGAGTTACGGCGTGTCGTTTGTGCAATGGGTCGGATAAGGATCCCAGCCACAAAAATACGACACCCCTGAAAGTCAACAAAAAATTTTTTAATTTTTTTTAACAATAAAATCTTATTGAAGCTCGAGAAGTTACTAAAAATACTCCTCAGCCAGAAGTCGAACCTGGAATTTCCGGCTTTCCAGACCGTCGCTTTCACTCTATACATCTACCGATAGTCCTAAACGCTTATTTAGACCAGCGTAAATTTTAAGAAGACTTCAATAAGATTTAATTGTTAAAATTTACGCTGGTCTAAATAAGCGTTTAGGACTCGGTTCATTCTCCGATAGATGTATAGAGTATTGCGAGACAAGCTCCAAGTGCCTCGGTAGCCTAACAGGGAAGGCGACGGCCCGGAAAGCCGGAGATTCCAGATTCGACTCCTGGCTGAGGAGTATTTTTTCGCAATATTTTAAAAATTACTTAGGAGGGTAGACGGGATCTCTCATATATATGTTATGCAAATCCAGCATCCAATATGAATTTAAGAATTAAAATTCAATTAAAAAAACCCGCGTGTAAAATTTACACGCGACAAACATATATATGTATATATATATATATACGTATTTTTCCGCACATCTTGCAATCGACTCGTATGACCGTAGATATATTTTTGTAATTTTCTTTTTATTGAAAATGGCTATTAGCAAAGCGAAGCAAAGATCAAGCCGCATTTTAGTGTTGAAAAAAGATCAGGTGTATCATTATATTCAAACCTCGGAAGGCGCGCTTGTGTATTTTTCGCACGCGGAAACTTTCACCGGCTCGAGAATCCCTCGTCATCCGGTGAAAAGCGAAATTACCGTGTCGCGCTAATGTAACAACATGATTATACCGAGTGTAAAATGAGCTTCCTATCTACGTACTTCGTTCGAATGTCCACCAGAATGACGTCCCGACAACTGAAATGTTCCCAATGAACTCTCTCGAGCTCCGTCAGAATGGGAACGGCGATCCCCGAGACCCGATGAAGAGTACACGAAGGCGGCTCGAAGTGCAGATTCTCTACGATCAAACTATGCCGGAAATAGGCAAGAAATCGTGGACTCTCACGACCCTGCACCTCTCTCATCAGAATCATTGCCGACACTTGCGAGTCGAGCTCGGCCGCGCGAAGCGCAGCGGCACCGGAAACCGTCAAATCGCAGTTAGCACCGATCCAGAAGTGAATTGCGCGCACCACCGTGGTGTCTTTCATTTCCTTGATCTGTCAACACAAAAGCGCGAATTTTTAACGCACTGTTGATCAGTTCTCTTTCGCGATGTTGCAATTTGTGTAAGAAAAATAAAAATACCGGCATGCCTGGATAAGGAAGAGCGCCGTCTTTCGCGGACACGGCGTAGACAATGTACGCCGATTCGGAGAGGAAGAGACCCATGTTGCTACCAGTTACGGCCGTTGCGCGCAAACCCTATTTGACAAATCCAAGTGTAACATATTGAATAAAATAATGCGCCAACAATGAAATACAAGATAAGAAAACAAATAGAGAATAATTTTTTTAAATATATTATTTTGTAACAATTAAAAAGAATTCACCTCGATCTTCCAAACTCGAAAGATGCTGCTGTTCTTCGAGATATTTCTGAAGACTTCACCGCCGGAATCATCGCTGCGGTAACTCCTGTCGTCCTGCGAGATAGTATTGAAACCATGAGAATGTTGCAGCACACTCGTCATGTTTCCTTTCTTATTCACAACTATACTAGAATTAAGTTTTCCAACGGTCTCTCTCAACGGAACTTTTCTAATTCCACTTTACCGTTTTCTCGCGCAAAAAAAATTTATTCCACAAAATAGTTCGTAAATAAATTTGTTGAGAAATTCCACGTAAATCTACCGGAAGCGCCGATCTCAAGGCCGATGGGCAAACACACCAGAATAAACGCGGCGAGTTAATTTCGGTGCGATAACATTGTTGAAAATTGTGTTCGCGCATACGGGCGTGTTGTTGTTCGCAGATGAACGAGACGAGTTTTGCAACGACGCTCGTCCTCGCTTCGCGAGGTAACTGAAAACTGGGATAGCAGAGCTCGCCGAGAGGACCTCTGTCTCGCAGATGCGCTCAAGTGCGTGCCACTCATGCATATGCAGGCGTCCGACAAGAAAATATACTTACCGCATACTTAATGCGCATTGAAATTTGACCTATTATCCGACGAAACTTCTTTGTTTCCAAAATTATTTTTTATCGAATTTTTAACACAAGGACATTGAAAAACATATAATTTAAGATAGTTTACAAAACGTAGGAGATTATACAATACACAGAGAGAAAATCAACTGAAATCAACTTGCGCAAAATAGAAAGTCTCATGAAATATACAAATGAGAATTTTTATATAATTATAAATTCTTCTGTGAACAAATACATATTTAATAATTAATTGTTTATTGAGAATTTTTATAATTATATTATATTGTAGAGTCGAAAGTTTAAACAAACAAGTATATATTGTGCTCAAGTTGATTGACCTGCGATCACATCGGATCCCGGTAAGATGATGCCCATTGTTATTATGCCGCGGCCAACCACCGTCGCATTGTGCTAGTTTTGGTCTCTCTCTCTTGACGTGTGCGTGCAAGCACGTTGCGTTTCATTCATATGTACGTAACCGCACACACATATTAAGCAATTTGTATATATGTGTGTAACACGTATTCACGCATACGCGCAGTTTAAGCATCATCCGCGACGATCATCGTCATCGTGCGACAGGACAGGAAGTCGCAACTGCCGCTTGCACGCCCACTTTTGCGCGCGGGAATTGCGACAAAAGGTGAAAAATTCGCGAACGAGAGAGCAGACAAATCTCGTAGACAAATTTTATTAAATCTGATATAGAAATCTCTTTTTCTAAAATCATATTTAATAAAAAAAAAATATATCTCAATACTTAATGTTTTTTTACGGATCATATTTTTTATGCTAATAAATAAGATTTTTAAAAAATTTTAGTAGGTGTTTTCTCTCGTTTTATGCGCGTGTCTGTTTTGTTGAAAAACTTTTTGATAAAGTTTCACATTTTTTTCAATCTCGAAAAAATCCACTTCTCTTACTTAATTGACTATGCCGGCATCAAACAGAGCAGAAATAAGAAAATAAAGAAGAAGAAATTACTAATTATATACATACATATACAAAACACACAAATTCTCTTTGCACACAAATTGCAAAAACATTTTGTTCAAGAATCAAAATTAAAATTAACTGTCTCAAAAGTGTGCAAGACGCAAGAATTTGAAAACTCAACAATTTAAAAAAATTCAAGTACATTTCCAAGAAAGTTTCTGAAATTTCTCTCGATCGTGTCAGTGTTCGAACGAACATAGATGATCACTCACCTGCCTGAGAAAATTCATTGTTTCGCTCTCGCGGGTTCACAACCGGGGATCCATTTAAACCGACGTCTTATTGTTTCGCGGGGGACACGCACGAAGGAACAAGAGATATCGCGGCGACAACGGCGATTTATCGCGTATGAGATGGTACGGCGGCTAACTGTACACGCGAACAACTGATGCTCCCCGGGGCTTGAAAAAGAAACCATACCGGTGCGAGAAGCCAGGTCCGGAAGTGGGCCCCGGAACTGTAACCGGCCAGCCGTGACCGTAGCAGCAGCGGCTTCGTCGGGGCCCACCGATGCGGGCCGACGCTGATCTCACCCGTGCGCGTGGCCACACGCACCTGTTTCCGAGGCTTCCGTTGGTGCCTTTCCAACGTGTTACCTCGCCGTGAATAGATATAGCGCATGGTGGTTCATTACACATCCTAGAACACATAATGGACCTCTCTCGCCTCGTTTTTCCTCTTTATCGCGCGTTAAATATCCTTGACGAAATGTAAGACGATTTAAACGACGGAAAATTGCGCTTCATACGCATTTTGTATTCTTTATTTTAATTAAAAAAAAAATGAAATGTAACAAATAATTAAATGTGAAATCTTTCTGGTCTAATTCTCTTTTAAATCTCCTTTTCTCTAATTTTTAGAACAAAACACGATCGTTGCATATTTTTCTTTGACGACGAGAGGCGACGGGTGAAGAGGGATGGAGAGGTAGGTTGACAAATGTTAAAGAAGCGTCCTCGTTAGTTCTTCGACGTCGCATTTTTCGATTCTTCGATGGATTGGCGGAACGAGGAGTCGGATCAGTCGAGCGGTATATCAAGACAGAGAGCCGCTTCTTCTTGAGAATCGTCTAACCATACAAACGTATGATTTCTCTTTTCTCGGACAGTCGAAAACTTAAAGTGGGACGAGAATGATTACTTCCCGGCCGGAACAAGGGATGCTCCCGTCGCCGACGCTCTAGATCGTAACATTTGCTCCCAAGCGGTTCAGGTGAACTAAAAAAAAGTTTTATATATAAAAATACGTTATAACAGTTGAAATCTTTAGAGTGATTAAAGTAAATCTGATTATATAGTATAATATGTATCTCACGCATGTTCATCTATTCAGGCTGATAATGGAACTTGCAAGGATATCACGAGTTTCACTTCTGCTCTGGAAAATCTAGAGCTTCTCGAGACGAACAAGAATTACACGGGATTCAGAACCAGTGACGCACAAACGGATTACTTCGACGATTCCGAGCAAGATGATACCGCGCCGGTTTTCAAAACACGGGAAAAAACCACTTTCCAATTGGTGGTCCAAGGACCGGAAATTCTAAATTTCCAAGTACAAACGGTTGCCAAAGTTTGTTCCAATTTGTTTCAAATATTATTTATAAATCTTTTTTTGTAAAGGGTACGAGATATTCGCCTGCGGACATTGCTCCCTATTGGAAGAAGGATTCTCGAATGTGGCTGTGGAAGTCGGTCAGACTCGCGAGAAAGATAAGAAAAGACTAAAACGAAAGCTCCGTCGGACACTTTGACATAGCGAATTTTTGTAGCATATAAATTGTTATTTGACATGTAATGTAAATTTTTTCAGACTTTTTATTTCGTTTTTTCTATGATTATACATTTTACATCGTAAATCGTTATAGTGATATATATATGATTTATGTATTCTTATTATTAAAGCATTAATAAAATAATTAAAAATCATGTGCAGAAATTAAAAAAAGAATTTATCACAATACGTAGCGTGCACAAAGTTGCATTTTAATTTTATTCCAGACACTATCATCAATTTTATTACAACAAACTGTAATACAATAACGTATTGTAATATTAAAATAAAAAATGTTTTTTCTTACAAATGCAAATTTCCGAAAATTATTATGCAAACATACGTAGTTGTGGGTGAAAATTGTAACAATGTTTAACTGTATAGATGTATCAGATATATATACAGGGTGTCCCAGAATTGCCGTACAATCTCTCGTAGGCAGGTAGAAGGAGTAAAACTGAGTCGAGAAGTCCTGAACCATTTTTTTCTATTATTTATAATAAAGGAGTAATTATTGAGTAAATCAGGCCAATCAGCGCAGATCTTTAGCTTGGCGCACGTCAGTGAGCCGCGCGCCTGGTGTGTGTGAGTGCTCACTGACGTGTGCCTGGCTAAAGGTCT